TCCAGGTTCATAATGCCGCTTTCTTTCTGAGTTTCTATAGTGCCACAAACAAATACAATCATACAAACAGCCATGAGAACTATCAAAAGCCTCATCAAATTCTATCTAAAAGGGCAAAAAAGGGGACCTAAACTGATATTCTCTTTCAAAGGATAAAAGGCAATTTAGCAAATCATTGTTGTGGTAAGGCCATGGTGATAAATCCCCCTCCAATGATTTAACGTCTACTTTTTATCCCTTGGTTGGTTGATTTCTTATCTTGCACATTTTTTTTCTCCTTTTCTTATTGAAGTGAATTGCATCTCTCTCTTCTTTTGCCTTAATGGCATTTGATTGATTTGTTTTTTTGTTTACAAAAAGACATTTTCTCTTAAGAAATTCATTCAACACTTATCATTTGGAATTAAGTAGATTTAATTAATTGAGCAACAAATTTATACATTTATATCGCAACTAATTTTAATTGAAGAATTAATGATATATTTGGTATGTCAATGTGATATTATAAGATTTAATTTTCAAGAATTAGACTAAAAAATTAAAAAATAGGATATCTTATTACATTATGATCTCTTAAACTCAATTTAAAACTCTATTTAGTTAACAATTCTATAGAAATTGTTGCCCTCAAGGCGACTAATATAATGAATTGCAATTTAGTTAACCTACTATCTAACAATTGTTTTTAAGTTGCAACTTTTGTAATATGTTTGGATTAAGGAGAATTGAGGAGAGGAGAGGAGAAGGGAGGAGAGAAAATTCTTTTATTTGGTTATTAAAAGAATTAGAGAGAAAGGAAAGAAAGAAAGCTCTTTGCTTTATTTTTCTTTTAATTCATTTATTTATCCAAATGAGGTAAGAGGAAGAGAGAAGAATGGAGGAACCCTCAACCAAACATGTTTTTAATTCATTTATGGTTAAATGCTAAATTTGGTCCTTCAACTTTAGTGAGTTGCACATTTTTGGTCTCTCAATAATTTTTTGCACTTTTTTGATCCCTCAACTATAAGAAATGCACTCCGTTAATCTTTCTGTCAATTTAGACCGTTAATTTCGACATGTGACATTTTTTATAATTTTTTTGATAACATGGCAAAAACAATTTAAAAAAGCGCTGATTTGGAATTTTTTTTAAAACATGTCATCCTCAACTCATTGCCAACTCATCGCCAATTCATCGTCAACTCATAAACCGATTTTACCTTAATAAAAAAATATAAAATTACAAATTTACCCATCTCCTTTTCTCGATCCATCTTCTTCCCCTCTTTCGATCATCTTCTTCCTTTCTTTTTTTTCTTTTTCTGTCTTCCTCTTCTTCCTCTTCCTCTGTTTGTTGGGTTCTTCCTCTGTGTCTGTTGGGTTCCACCTGGGTTCGAGGAACCCAGCAACTGGGTTCCACCGGAACCCAGTTCGGGTTCTCGCGTTCGATGAACCCAGTTTGCTGGGTTCCTCGAACCCAGCTCCAATTTTTTGTTTTTTTTTTTTTTGTTATATGATTGTTTGCGAAAATTATCAAAGTTGTAGGTTGCGTGGGATTTTTGGATCTTTTTCTTCATATTTTTTTAAGTATTGTCTAAATGATTTCAATGTTCAAAATGGAAAGAACAGAAGCAGTTGGGAAAAGGTGGGTTTCCATTTGTTTGGCTAGAAAATGGTATGGTTTGGGTGTTTGGATGTTGAGAAAATGCTTTAAATTTGTTTGGTTGCCGAGATTTAAATTTGTTTGGTTGCCGAGATTGGTTAACGACAATCTATAATGTCCGTTAAAAGAAAGAAAATTTGATGAAAACATTGTGATTTAATTATAAATTAATTTAGAATTTTAATTTTAATTAATATAAATAATTATAGTTTAA